CCCCCCCCCCCCCCCCACCACCTCCGCGAGCGCAGCCCGGGTGTGAGACAGGAGCGAGGCAGCCGGAGGGGATAGGCTGAGGCCGAGGGCCGAAAGGCGCATGGGCGGGTAGTGGGTCTGAGCACGGCCCTCGGAGCACCGAGAGCGACACAGGGGTTGCTCCCGCGCCCGACCCTACTCTTCCAGGGAACGGCGGGGACAGTTTTATGGGTCCGGAGCGCAAGACTCGGGGTAGGGAGGGGGGCTGGATACTCCAGGATCCGGTTCGGGCCTGAGCAGGTCTTTTCCCTCTGGGAGACACGTCCCAGTGGATTCCAGCGGCAACTTCCTAGTGGCGACACTTCCTCCATCCCCCGCTTCTCCCGCGCCATCCATCCCACCTTCGCGCCTTCTTCCACCTTTGCCTGAGTGTGACAGTGAGCTCCCCCAAAGAGATGGGCACCCGACAGTGTGGGGTACCTTCTGTCCTTCACCATACCCCTCCTTCGGGAAATAAAATCTCTTGCCACCCACCCAGAATAGCAGCTGGTTATGCCCTAAATAACAGCTCCCAGCAGGCACTCTCCCCCAAAATAAAAGCATCCAGCCACCCCCACAACGTCTCCTATCACCGGACTCAAATAACAGATAACGGTTTCTAAAAGCCCCACCGCTCCCCCGCTCCCAAGATCAAACAGTTCCTACTCCTTCAAGCCCGAAATGTCACTTCCCTACGCGCCTTAAGTGAGAACCAGCCGCACCCAACCTCCCGGCGCGGGTCTCAGATCCCTCCTTTCTCCCTGGCTTCCAACTTCCCAGCCCCCCAACCAGCCCTCTGTCCACATGCAGGTTCCTCGCCCAGCACCCCACAGCTAATGTCAAACAATGCAACCAGAGACAGCAGAGAGGGAAGGAAAAGGCCAGCGAAAGCGGACGACAAATATTAATTCTAGGTGTGCAGTGAGGTTTAGTCCCCTGCAGCAGCGTCCAGCGCGCCGCGACCGCACTCCCAGGCCCCGCCTCGCCCCTCCGCCCCAGGTCGCCACGGTCCCCACCCCCATTTCCCTACCTTCGTTGCTGGGGCTGGCTAGGAGTGTCCGGAGCGCGGCGCACAGAAGAAGGCACGTCCAGAGGGGGGCCCTGCGAGGTACGGAGTAGCAGCCAGCCAGGGACACAGGAGTTCTGGGCTTGTCGCCGCCCCCGCCGCCCGGGGGCCGCCGGCGTCCCGCACCCCGGGGCCCTGAGCCCCGCATCTTCTCCTCGCCTCCTGCGCCGCTGCTGTCCCGCGCGGCTCAGTCCACAGCTCCGGCCTCGCGGAGGGGGCGAGGGAGACTCAAGGCTCCTCCTGGTCCCCCGTGGGGTCCTATGCCTTCTGGCACGTGGATCCTCCAAATGCGGGAACCACGGATCCGCTGAGACGGCTGAAGTTTGCCTCGGGCTCCTCTCGCCCTCGCCTTCAGTGGGGTTAAATGAAATCCTATTTCTGGTTGCTGGTACAGTTCTGGACTGGGCTCAAGGGTGCCGGGAGGGTCCCGCGTGCTGTTCCTTTGCCTCTTAACACTTTTTAAGGATTGCGATTTTTTTAAATGCCCCTGGGGAAAGGTAAAGATTCCTTTTCAGTCCTCAGTGCTGAAATTGACGAAGGTAAGGAAACCAAGTCATCTTAAACCGAAATCCCCAATAAAACAGGAGGGAAACGCAGGGTGGTTAAGGATAAAGGAAGAGAAGTTGAGAAAACGCACGGCGGGGAAAACAGGAGAGAGACGAGCAAAAGCAAAGATCCAGAGAGTTCAAAGAGGCTGGCAGAAGGAAATAGCTGCCGGCTGAGTGCTGACGAGAGGAGGCTCTGGCGCGGCGAGCGGGCGGGAGCGCGAGCCCGGCTGCGGCGGCGGCCCGGGGCGGCTGCGGTTCCCGCTGCGCTGGGAGGAGGCGGTGTGTGCGCGGCTGCGAAGGCGAGCTTGAAACTGCACCGCCACGGCGCGCTCCTGCTGTGTCTGGAGCTCCGGCGTCTCCTCTACCTCCCCGCTCTGCACCTCCCACCCTCCTTCCCTCCTCCTCTCCTCTGCTCCCCCGCCCTCCGCGGCTCGCAGCCTCGCCAGTGAGCATCTACTGTAAGTGTGACTTGTTTAGACGAAGTCACACACCCACGGAGGGAAGTAACCTGCAGGCTGCCGTGGTGAGTGTTGCCTAGCGGTCTCCGGGAAAGGCGCGTCTTCCTCCCCGGGTAATTAGGGTGCAGAATCCTCCTGACGACGCCTGCGAGGACCGGGGTTCCCGGGAGGCGGGAAGGAACATCAACTCTAGCTCAGCTGGCAGCCTTCAGAGAAGCGGGTTCCTGGGTTTGGCATATTGCCTGCTGCCCCTCACAGGCTTGTGGCATCAACAACCTTGTCGTCACATAGCCCCGCATTCGCTGCCTCTGCTGGTCCGTGGCTAGTTTCTTAAACACCCCTATCGCTCACTGCTCTTGACCCTTTCTGTTCTTGCAATACTTGGCGGCTGGAGCGGGAATTACTCAACATTTTATTCAAGACTAAATTTTAGAATATCCAAATAGAGAGGCGGTAGCTCTGTTTAAGATTTCAGGGACTCAGTGAATTTAGCTGTTGAGATTTGTAACGTACCAGGTACTTTAAGATATGATGATTTAATTCACTTATGTCATTGATGGAATATTTCAGCGTTTTAGAGATTATATAATATGCAGTTACATGCGATTAATTCCCGTGAAATTAACATGGGTCAAATAATTTTAGGGCTTTCTAAAATTTTAATTATTTTAATTTCTTGTGTTCTATTGTATTGAGAGACTTACAAATAGGAGAAAAAATAGTTTGAGACAATTAACTATATGCTTCACCTCCATTGTCTTTCCTTGTTTTAACATTTTCCTTCAATTTTGTCATTAATTCTTTCAAACAGATAACATCTGAAGGTTTAATATAGTGACATTAAAAAGAAAAAAAAGACTGCAAAGAAAGCATCTAGAAAAAAGTGTGATTTGACAAGAAAGGGATCTCATTTGAATTGGTATAGTAACCACTGTAAAGATTGGGCTTGTATTCAAACCTAATAAAGGTAATTCTGCTCACCAGCTTTGGCATATTTAGAGCTGTGTTTGTCTTCACAGTAATTTTCTCACAATCTTCAGCTGACGACATTTGTTTTTTCTTGAATATATTTGCAATAAAGATGAAAGAGTAAAGCAGAAGTGACCCAATTTTGTAAAGAGGTGGAAGCTCATTTTTTATTTTATTATTATGATTATTTTTTTTTTTTACTAAAATGTTTTGGCACCAAAAGCCTGAAAACAGCTTCTTTCTATTATATGCTCCAAATGCATGAAACAAATTTATAGGAATGGCAGTGAATCAGTCTTTTAGTTTGGCAAAATCCTCACAGTAAGACAGAAAGTTAAAATTTATCTTTCTATTTGAAGACCATTCAAAGTGTAAGCCTTCCCCCGCCCCCTGACATTTATAGTTGAGCTACTCAAAAATATCTAAACAGAACATCAACTAAGATATCTAAAGCCTAGGAATACATAATAAAGCTAATATGAGACATAGGTATTTAATGGGGCTTTGAGCTAGTTTCTTTACTTATGTAGGCCTTGAATCTCATCAATATAAAATGAGGGTTTTGGAGAAGGTCCTCAAACTCCCTTCTATTCCATAGTATTTGCATTTCTGTGTTACTTCCTTGCTCATCTATCTCTAATTATTTACTATTGATTAGAAAATAACCAAATTTCTTCAGCCTGGAATGTAAAGCCTGCTACTGCAAAGGTCTTAAACAAATTTTCTATTTTATTTTACACTAAAATTTACAACTCAGTGTTCCTCTAAATTGCCTCATGCCTCTCTGATTTTTATGCCTGTCACTTAATTCCACAGAAAATTTATCCCTTCCCCAAAATATCGACATCCCCCGCTCCCCAACGCACATATTGTTGTCATGTAAATCCTGCCCAGTGTCCAAGGGGAGTCAGGCACTCAAGCCTCATTCCTTCTTTTCTCAACAAGAAATGACTTGGTTTTCTTCAAAGTATCCATAGATTGTAGTTTATGTCAGTCAACATAATGCCATATTTTTTGAATGGAAACCTGGAAAAAATTGTCCAAGTATATATAAAGGGACAGAGGCACAGAATTTAAGCCAGGTATGTCAAAGAAACCCTGGGACACTAGTCATTATGGTCATCATTACATGATCTGCTACTCAGGACTACTAACTTGTTAAATGATTGAAAATACAGAATGCAAAGTCTTTTGTATTCTCCACCTTAACTAGCAGCCATCTTTCTCATAGCTGTTTAATAATATTTATTACATATGTTGGAAGGAATGAACAGCTATAACATGAAGCCCCAATAACAGCAGTGAAAGCCATTTTTTGGTCCAATGAGGGTTAATCAGAGAAGGCAATGATGGTGGTTTGGCTTGGGCCTCAGAGGATATCTTACATTTGGTCATGTGCTGATTTCTTGGCATGTAAATTATTTACTATTGATTAGAAAATAACCAAATTTCTTCAGCTTAGAATGTAAAGCCTGCTACTGCAAAGGTCTTAAACAAATTTTCTATTGTATTTTACACTAAAATTTACACACTTATACTGGTCTATGGCATTTCACGAAAATGAGATTTGTTTTGTTTTGTTTTTTTCCTACTAATTGCTTTGCATAACAGAAGTCTATGGACATCAGTACTGGTTTAGATGTCCTATTGTTTGCATTTCTCACTGTCTGGGATGACTACTATGGTCTCAAAAGGTGAAAGTGGCAGATGTCTCCTTAGATCTCTGCTTGAACATGGATTTAGTACTAAGCTTTCATGAAGGAAGAATATTCAAATTAACCTTGATAAGGAACCTTGAAAGTTTACTCCCTCATAAAAAAAAATGTTAATATTGTAATTAAGTTCAATATATTAATAACCCTGAATATATTTTCACTGCATTCAAAATAGAACAAAACCATTCCTGAAAGACTTGCTAGTATTTACTGAAGGTTTGCTGTGTGTGAAATATTATGTGATGCTTTTATATTAATTATTTTACTTAATGCTGATGCTTTAATCATGATTTTGATGTAATTATTATCCCCATGTTAATGATAAGAAAACTGAGAAAATGAGCTTGGGTGAGCCGAGTAGTCTCACAGCTGGTAAGACATGGGAAGTTCAACCCATGGTACTGGCTCTATTCAAGAAAACTCTAATGTAACAGAAGTAAAGAATATATGTGACAACCAGTTGGACAGAAAAAGACAAAGAAAAAGAGAACCACTCCAAAATTCTGCATTAATGGGAGCAATTAATAGATAAAAATATTACAATTTTCATGTTCATTTAAATCCAAAAGCAATTTAACAAATAATACAGTGCGGGTCATATAAATGAATAGGAAAAAACAAACAAACAAAAAAAAAAAAACAAGAAACTAAGGATTATAAATAAGCATTACTTAAAGAAAAAAGACTTTTTTGTAAATATGAAAACATGAATATGGTTTGTTTTTGTACAATGGACGGTGGACCAAATTAAAAAAATAACAAGATTGAGGTCTGTGGTCAGATAATACTAGCACAAGCAGATTACACAATAACCATGTAAATCATGGTAGAAAACATAAGCAATAGTGTTTACAAAAACAATCTAAATAAAACTATGTTAACCCAAGAGCATTTTTTCCCTAAAATATTATGTAATCCTAGCAACTTTGAACTATCGTTTTCAATGTTTTTAACACTTATTTGTTTTCTCTATTTGGGAGAATTTGTTGCAAAACAAAAGCAAAGCAAACTTTTAACTCATGATATATTCTAGATGAGAAATTATAAGATTTCCTAATGAAACTATAAGATACCTTAATGAAGCTACTTTTTCAGATCTATGATTTGCTTAAGAGAATAGATGTATAGTAATATTAATTATTTTGGTTCTAAAGCTAAATAGTGACTAAAATATATTTAAGCAATTAATAGCCCTTGGAGTTCAAAACCAAGATAATACTATAATATATCCATTATTTTATATGTTGCATTTAAATTTAATGAACATAAGACAGAAAATATTTTAATTTTTGTTTGGTGTTATTTCTGTTTGTTTCTTAGACATATTTTTCCTGAAGTCCTAGAATCTCTCTCTCTACTAAAGACCTAAATGTCTACCTATTAATGTGAGATTAAGTTTTATTTAAATTTAATCAGTTATCAGTTGGGTGTTCAGTTTAAAAAATAATGAATAATAGCATTCTGATAAATTAATGAGAACTTAAATATATAATTTATCTTATTAGTTAATACATTAAAGTATTACTCAGCAGAAATTTTACTCATTAAGCATGTTGATATCCTAATCAGCACTTATTTTTTCTCCTTTCTATGAATGCTGAGAATAGAATCAAGTCCTCACATTGTCCATTAATAAGGAGTTTTGTAGCAAAGAAGGAACAAGATGTTCAAATAAATTACAGTGAGCCAAAGAACCGCAGTGGTTGTTGGTGGTGGTTTATTCTTTAATCATTCCTATGTCAATGTGCTGGGATTGAAGACATTGCAGCATAAATGTGAGGCCAAGTCTGCTGCAGTTTATGATGAGCCATAATGACTTGCCAGAAAGTTCTGTGGTTGTTTGTTTCAACATCTTGGACAACTGGCCTCATATGAAGATGTGGACACTGAACTCTCGTGACTGGGGAAGTAGGAAAAGTGTGCACAGGCGAGTCAGAATATTGAAGTGACACTACTGTGAGAGTTAAAAGTCCGCCTATTCTAACCCATCTTCTAGACTCTAGAAATATTTGCCAATATGTGAAAAATAAACTATAATAGTTTTCATATTTTATATCGAACTCAGTGCATATACAGACCTGAAGTTTATAACTAATTGATTCTTATATGAACACAGTTCATAAAATAATTAGTTTGCGAAGGGGAAAAACTGATAAATTTTCTCAATGGCATAAGTGAAAATGGAGCACATATGCAACCAGGCTTTTGATACCACTGTTATTTGTCTATGGAACAGGCTTCTAGATAAAAGTTAGCAATGATAATCTCATGTACTCATATACTCTGCTGCAGAATGTTAATCTGGAGCATCATAGGGTTGTCTCATGATATCATCAAGTACCTTTAAAATATGGCTAGTTTTAGACCTAGCAATTACATTT